CTGTCCTGGCTCTGGGTGGGGCACGCCAGCCCTTGTTTACAGTCGGTTCAGCTGCCCAGGTTCTGGGCCCAGTGTGACTCACCGCCCTGTGTGATGATGGTCGTACTGTCTACGAAGGTTTGATCTCATGATCGCTAGGCTGTGTCACCTCATTTTATAAGTTACTCCCCAGCCCCGTGGGCTGGGATGCCTGCTGCTGATCCAGGAGTGGCGGAGGCCGTAAGAGGAAGAGAAAGCAGGCCTCTTCGCCCCTTGCCCGTGGTGAGAGAAAACCCCTGCAGCTTCATTGCAGAGACAGAGACAGCCACAGACGTCCTGGCCAGTACCCAGGACCTGTGTTTAAAGCTGAGATTCTCAGGTCAGCTACCCCACTCCCCAGTCAGGAAGGTCTGGAATGGAGCTCCCAGGTGACCCTGTAGAGCAGTCAGCGGGGAGCCACTGACTGACCCTGGGCGTGGGTGGGGGATGGCCCCGATGCCCCCATTTCCTCTTCTGTGACATGAGGACAGTGGGAGTGCCCACGTCCTAGGGCCGCTGTGAACACCAAGTGGGCCGACGCAGGGGAGCTGTGGCCTGTGGCCGGGCTCCTGGCTCAGACGTCGTGCAACCTCACTCTGCCCTTTTCCCCAAAGGGTGCTGGTCCCACTTCCTCTCGGCGGGTGACACACAGGGAAGTTCTGTGGGGTTTTCTGAAGGCCAGGCCCACCTCTGCCACTGCACCCCACCGCCGCTTCTATCACATGCACCCCTCCTGTCCTGGTGGCAGCCCCACCGGGGTTTGGTTCCTCTGCTCCAGGCCCTCGCCCTGTTTGGAGGCGCTCCAGCATAATCGTGCCCACTGGGTTTTCAACTACTGCCCCCTCCCAGAAGGAGCCTTGCAACTCAGACTTACTAGTTTTGAAGAGAATGGTGATTCCAGTGAACTTACGGCACAGTAGGGTCCTGTGAGGGTACCAGGGCTTCCACTGGGAATTTGAAAGCCTGGCTGAGACATTCGTCCAGCAGCCGAGTGAGCTGGAGATGCCTCCGCCAGCTGCAGAGGTGGGAGGCCACCAGAAGACACTGTGCGGTCGGGTGCCATGGGCCCCACGGCAGGACCCTGTGCTGTGGAGGCTGGTCCCTGAGGGCTGAGTGACCACCCAAGCCCCTGCAGCCAGTCGTCGGCCAGGCTGGGATTCAGACCCTGATTTGGGGGCCCCTGCCCCCACCTGCTGTTCCGTCCCTACAGAGCTCTGGTTTGACATAAGCCCTGGACGGGACCTGGAGTGGGACAAGGGGCCAGCCCTGCCCGCCTCCCCTGCTGCCCCTTGCCGGCCCCCAGCCCTCACGCTTGTCCACTTTCCTCCTCGGGGTCCTTGTGTGAGCTCTCCTGCCTGCAGGGGACCCTGCCCACTTGCCTTTCTGGTCCGTTCCTAACGGCCTCTTCCCGAGCATCCTTTTCTGATGGTGCCCTGTCCACCCTCCTCGGCATAGTACGTCTTCTCACATGGCCACGTTGTGCTGCCCTGGGATCCCATGTGTGCTGGCCCTCCCCACACCCCACCTCCATCCCAGGCCTGCTGCTGGGAGAGGTGCTCTCATGGGTCCACGTATTGTGCTGCCCTGTGTGCTGCCCTCCCCACACCCCACCTCCAGCGCAGGCCAGCTGCTGGGAGAGGTGCTCTCATGGGTCCACGCTCCTCCTTGACCTCGCCCTCTCCTCTTCGGAGCAGGCCACCCTGCAGTTCTGCGTGGTGAAGCCACTCATGGCCGTCAGCACCGTGGTCCTCCAGGCCTTCGGCAAGTACCGGGACGGAGACTTCGAGTAAGTAGCAGCCTCCCTCGGGATGGGTGGGCGGGCATTGGCACAGGGTGCCGGCCTGCCCGAGTCCCTGGTGCAGGGAGGAGAGCATCGTGCTGACCCTTAGCCGTGAACTGCCTGGTGCCACAGTGCCCATGTCACCTTGGCCCGCTGCAGCCAGGACCAAGCCCTGGCAGCAGTCAGGATTACGAACAGGCCGCTGGAGCCTGGGGTGGGCTGTGCAGGGGCAGTGGCCTCCCAGGGAGCCCGAGGGTCAGAGCCCTGAGGGGCTGGCCAGGAGCCCGAGGGGTAAAGCTCTGGCTGTGTGACTTGTCCACACACATATCACAGGGCCAGCGAAGGTGGCCATGTCTCACACAGCTATGACCCACAGGGCAGCCTGGCCTGGGCGGCGAGCACGGTGGTGCCAGAGGGTGTGACTCGGCTAGGCACAAAGGCGGAAGCCACGTTTGCTGTCCGCTGGTGTCAGACCGTCAGGCTGTGACCTCCAGCACAGCCCTGGCTTTAGGAGTGTGGGGGCCAGAGCTGGGACACGTGTGAGGGAGCAGAGGTGGCAGGGCTGGCCTGTACCCTAGCCTCACTCCACTGTGGTCCCCTGGCCCCTCTGCTCAGTGTCTCCTTGAGCTTTCCTTGAGGAAATGCCAAGCCGCTAGGGCTCACGGACAGGCAGGGTAGGGGAAGGGGGGCCTCGTCCCCTGCGAGTGGCCTAGCCGGAGTACGCCCTGTCCACAGCGTCACCAGCGGCTACCTGTACGTGACCATCATCTACAACATCTCGGTCAGCCTGGCCCTCTACGCCCTCTTCCTCTTCTACTTCACCACCCGCGAGCTGCTCAGCCCCTACAGCCCCGTCCTCAAGTTCTTCATGGTCAAGTCCGTCATCTTCCTCTCCTTCTGGCAAGGTGGGGCCCCCTCAGCTGCCACCGAGCTGCCATGTGGGTGACCCATGCCGCCCTGTCCTCTAGGCCTTTGGGGGACCCTGGCCCGGAGCTCACAGAGCCCTCAGGCCACAAAGCACTTGCTGGGGGTGAAGCCTGGGCCCTCGAGGGCTTTTATAGGCACTGGGGGGGCAACACTTCATTGGTGGGGGACCCAGGTAGGGTACCCCGCCCAAACAGTGCTGTCTCAGTTTTGGTGGTCAGCAGGGAGTTGGGAGAGAGGGGTTTTCAGAGGCCTGGGCTTTCTGGTGCCATTCCTGCCCTGCAGAGCAGCTCTGGCCCCCACTTCCATCCTCCCTGGGGTGTGTGGACGTCTGGATGGGGGCTGCATGGAGGCTGCATGGAGGAAGGGGGTCCAGAAAGGGGGCTTTGTCTGGGGCCGTAAACCTGCGCCTCCCCACCCAGGCATGCTGCTAGCCATCCTGGAGAAGTGCGGGGCCATCCCCAAGATCCACTCGGCCCGCGTGTCGGTGGGCGAGGGCACCGTGGCTGCAGGCTACCAGGACTTCATCATCTGCGTGGAGATGTTCTTTGCAGCCCTGGCCCTGCGGCATGCCTTCACCTACAAGGTCTACGCTGACAAGAGGCTGGACGCGCAAGGTAGGGGCCGGTCTCCTGGGGACAGCCTCCGGGAGGCCGGGTGCTCCGGAGCATCCCGCCCCTCATCCCAGGCCCATCGTCCTGCAGGTGTTGGGTCACACCGCAGGATCCCGTCTACATGTGGGAGAGGGACCATGCGGTCGAGGAAGAAGGGGTGGCAGGGCTGGAAGGGCCCCACCAGCGCTGCCCGGAGCCCGCCCGTCATCTCCTGTGGCAGGGCCAGGTGTAGAGCCCCGGCCGCGGGGAGTCAATAGGCTGTTGAGGGCCCCTGTCACCCAGCGCTGTGCGTGATCTGTGTCGTCCTGCAATTCCCTCGTCTGTGCTGCTCTTTAAACCAAAGCAACAGAGAAGCCCGGACTGCTTCTGAGAGCCAGACTCGGATGGCTATCGCTTCCGACAGCTTTCTTCTCACACCTGCTGGTGTTCCTGGCTGTTAGACAGTGGCCGGTGCCCTGTGGGCGTGCGGATGCCCCGGAGAACCTTTAAACCTGCGAGCTCCGGCCCCACCCTCAGCTGCGGCTCAATTTGATCCGGCCTGTGTAGGGTGTGTTCTCAGCTCCCTGGTGACTCCAGCCTGCTGCTGTGGGCCAGGAGGGCTGCCTCTGGCTACTGCATGCAGAGAAGGTGGTTCTAGGACAAGGGAGAGGCGGTGGGGAACCCTGCAACTGACTTAAGCAGGGCAGGGCAGAGGGCCTGCAAAGGCGGCAGAGGCCGCCCAGGGAGCCCAGCGTCAGAGTCCTGAGGGGCCGGCCTGGAGCCTAGGTATAAAGGTGTGAGGTCCAACACGGCCACCCAGGAGTCCAGCTGCTGCCTCAGGCCCTGTCACCACAGCCCACCATGGGCACCCACCCCAAGAACAGGTGGTGTAGGGTGTAGAAGTTCTGCCAGTAGCCGGCTCCTCGACCTGCTCTCCTGTTCTCCTCCCTCCACCCTGCCCTGGCTGGGAAGTCGCCTGAGCTGGACCCTCTTCTCCCCACACACCTGCCAGCTGGAGCTCTGGGCCACCTTTCCAGTCTTTGCCCGCACACCCGCTCTGCCCCGACCTCTCAGCCAGGGTTCTGCAGCTGGTGCCCTGCCCGCTTCCTGCCAGGCCCATGTTGGAAGGATCTAGTAGACACCTGTCCTACCTCCCCAGTGTTGAGGGTGATGACCTTTGGCCCTAGTCTGGCAGAGCCTGTGCCCATGAGGATGTCACTCTGGAGCCCGGCCACCCCCAGGAGCAAGTGCACGGGGATAGAAAGCCGTCTCTGACCGTGGGCGCGCTCTGCTGTCTGGCCTGGGCTGTCTGTACACACCTCCCGGTGAGAAATGGTGTGGCCAGCCACACAGCCCCACCAGGGGATGCTGCTCCTCACCCTCACCCTCCTCTCCACGGGGCCCAGGCCCTTTCACACCCCTGACGGCAGCGCCCAGCCCCTCAGCCGTCAGGCTAGGCATGATGCGGAGTTGGCTGTGCCGCGTGATCGCATAAGTACTGCCCACTCTGAGCCCCTTCTCATCCGTGAAGTGCCGTGTGGCTTGTTGGGCATGGTGCAGTTACCGTCCCATCCAGGCCTGGAGGCAGAGGGGCTGGGGTCCTGCCTGAGGTGTGGGTGTGGAACTCCCACCGCAATTTGGCACATCCCTAGGCAGACATTCCCCGGGCCCCAGGGAGCAGCTGCCCTGGTGCCCTGCGGGGCCTGGGGGGAGGGGGAAGTGGATGGCATGCTGGCCGGCGGGCTTGGTGGTGGCGCGCGCGGCTCACTCTGCTGTCTCTTGTCTTCTCTATTTCTCCGGCTTCACCCCCTCCCCTTTCGCCCCCGGTTTGGCCGCGGGCAGTGCCGACATATGGCCCTTACGGTAGGTGCCACTCTGGGTCTGCACGTCTGTCTTGCACGTCAGTTCTGGTCACTGTCACTGGCATGCCTCTCTCTGTAGCGCCTCCTCTGTGTTCCCATCTCCCCCGTCTCCCCTGTAGGAGAGCCCAGAGCACCTGCCTGCCCAGGGCCACCTCCCTGTTGGCCTCTACCTTGGTGTTGGCACTCTTCCATCCTGATTTCTCAATGTTCAGGTGTGGGGCACTGAGGTGCTATCTCTGAGATCTCAGAGGCACCAGCCATGTTTCTGGGGCCCAGTCTGCAAAGGGTTTCTGAGCCAGAAACCCTGGGTTCGAGTCAGGTGCCCCCTGTAGCTTGCTGTGTGGCCTGGGCCATTTCTCCCCTCTGAGCTGTGGAGGCGATTGGTTAGAGAGAACTGGGAGAAAGCCCATCAGGGCAGGGAGCACCCGCCTCTGAGAAGGGACCCGTGGACGCTTCTGTGCCTGCTCTGGGTCTGGCCAGCCTGGTCCTGATGGTGCAGGTCCCTGGCCCACTTGCCAGGTAGAGGGGAGCCCTCCCAGGTATGAGGGCGGGGCAGGGGCACCCCCAGCTCGCAGGCCCCTTTCCCCAACATGCATGAGGTCTGTGGGTGCTGAACCTAACATGGCCCCTCTGGGGCCTTCGGGCTCCTTGCCTATAGGTGGCACCTGGGTCCCTTCCACCTGTTGACCTCTGCTCCCTTTGACATGAACCACCCAGGTCTCTGTGGCCCAAGCCATTTCTTCACCTGCCTCTTCTCACACCCCGTGGGGTGGGGCTCTGTCCTAGGATTAGGGGCAGGCGCTGAGCTGCAGCCCCCGCCACCCCACTACTCACCCGCCCTTGCTCCTGCCTGCAGGCCGCTGTGCTCCCATGAAGAGCATCTCCAGCAGCCTGAAGGAGACCATGAACCCACACGACATCGTGCAGGACGCCATCCACAACTTCTCACCCGCCTACCAGCAGTACACGCAGCAGTCCACCCTGGAGCCCGGGCCCACCTGGCGCGGTGGCGGCCACAGCCTCTCGCGCTCCCACAGCCTCAGCGGAGCCCGTGACAATGAGAAGACGCTCCTGCTCAGCTCTGACGACGAGTTCTAGGCGCAGCTGCAGGGGAAGGATGGGCGCCTTGGTTGAGGCCAGGCTGAGCCCCTGCTCCGGCCTCCAGCCAGGCCTGGGGCAGCTGCCACAGCTTCGGGGTCACCCTTTATTTATTGGACCAGAAACACTCACATATCGCTTCCAGAGGAACAGCCAGGTGGGGACAGCCAGGCTCACCCAGGAGCCTTCAGGAATATTGTACACGGCCAACCCCACACTGCCTGGGCCAGGGCAGAGGGCACAGGGATCGCCTCCCATGTCCTGCTGCTCGTCCTGTGGGAGCAAACCGGGACCAGCCAGCCAGGCCCAGGCATTTGCGTGCGGACCAGCGGCGGCAGCCTCATAGGCCTCCCTCCCCACGAGACTCCCCTGAGGTCGGCAAGCCCCAACCTCCCCAACACCGTGCAATATCCAACCTGGGCTCCTCCCTGCCGGCTCCCCTGCCTTGTCCACCATCGCCCAGTGCTTGAGTCGCCTCTCCCTGGGCAGGAGGAGGGTGTGTGGACAGTCTGGACCCCCCTCCTGACCCAGGCCCACCTGGCATGCTGCAAGGGTCAGAGCCAGACGAAAGAGCCCGGTCCCCACCTCGGAGGCTGTGCGGGTGCCCCGGGGCCTTTTCCTGTTGAGCAGGGTCTCCCTTGCCATGGCCACCCCTCTGCCTGCCTCATGCCCCTTCCTCCTGGCCTGCCATGGACACCAGTGGCCCACATTGCCTCTCACTTGGGTCCTTCCTCTTCCAGAGTGTCGAGCAGAGGGCTTGCGTCTATAGCGGCTCCAGCGGGTGGGGGGGTCCCCCTCTGCGGGCTGAGCAGCCGTGACCTCTGCCGGAGCCTGGCCTCTCTCTAGGGCGTCTCCCTCTGCTTCAGAGGAGCAGTCTGTCTCTGCAACTGAGACCAGCTTCCCGAAGAGACAGTCCAGTGGGTGGACGGGAGGGCTGGCCATGCAGGGGAAACCAGGAGAGGGGAGGAGTGGCCCCAGACCCCTCACCAGGCCCCCTATCCACATAGGGCCTGGGGTTCTGCCTCATCTGGCCCCCAGCCCATCTCTTCTGTGCCTTAGTCACACGTGAACGCTCCCTCCCCGGTTCCAGGCTGTCCCAGACACTCCCTCGGGGCTCTTCGTTAAGCTGCTGGCATTCAGAGGACCTGGAGTGCTGGGCCAAGCGCCTGGGACAGACCTCAGGTGTGGCCAGGACCTCCAGTCCCCACCCCTTGCCACCCTCCACACCCATATCCTGGAGCTCCCCGGGCCCGAGCTCCCAGGCAGACCCAGAGCCCCTTGGCATGCCAGGCACTCGCCGGCCACTGTCAGGAAGAGCCGTGTGACACAATGCATGTTCAGTGGGCAAAGTGCTCTGGCCTTCGAAACCTAGGTGGTTCTTGGGTTTGGGCTAGCAGTAACCTCGAGAAGTGGGCAGGGTGGTGAAGGGCCCCTGCCTAGTGGCCCCTGTGGAACCTTTTCTTTGGGTGCCTCCTGGGATGAACAGGCTCCCTCCATGGGGCCTACGATGGGGCTCACGGTGGGACATTCTGTCCCAACAATCTTCCTGGCCTCCTTCCCTTGGGCTCCAGAGGCCAACGCTCAGACCCCTGTCCCAGGGTGTGCCTGGCCGGTTGGTCCCAAGCTGCCCAGGACGGCGGCTGGCAGTGCAGGCTGGCCGAGGAGCCGCTCGAAGCACCGCCACCATCACTTTCATGGATCTGTTTCTCTGACTCGTTCCCTTTCTCCCTCCAGGCCAAAGCGTGTCGCTGGTCCCTGCCTCCTTGGTTTTTCCCCACCCTGGCACGTGCCTGCTAGCATGGTGGGTGGGGCGGGAGGAGCTCAGTGGCGGGGAACTTGGGGTCCCTGAGGACGTGGGGACAGGAACGTGTCGATCGCGCCATCTCCTTCCTAGGTTGCATAACCTACCTTCTCTTTTTAAAAACTTTTTTTTTTCCCAAATAGAGTAGCTCTTTGTACATAAAAAAAATACTTGAAAAATGAACTGTATGATGTATGAGAAGACAGAGTCCCCTAGTTTTGTATCTCGTATGACTGCCATGAGTCCCACCAGAAAGCCGCTCTATTTTGGTCCCTGTGACATTTTAAATGCGTGACAGACGTGAGCAAATAAAGTGAGGAAGAAATATATATATGAGATAATAGAGATTGTATTGAAACTCTTCTGCCTGTGGGTGAGGTTTTTTCCCTTCCCCTCCCCTGCCCCCTTGTGCTCGTGTTTGGGGGTGGCTGTGTGGTTGGGGTGGGGGTGTCAGGAAACCCTCTCCCTTCTGTGTACGTGTAGGTGATGGGGGGTCACGATGCCAATGCCAGCTTAGAACCAGGGTCCAGGCCCCCGCTGGACAGTGTCTCGCCCTCCCACAGCCAGCTGGTCCCAGTGGCTCTCCCTCCCTACCAAGGGCTGGGACGTGGGGTCGGTGCCTTCTCCATCACTTTGCCGACCAGGTAGATGGGTCTCCACACCGGCAGCCTCACTCAGGTCACGTCTCCTGGGACTCTGAAGAGATTTCCAAGATCCCTTCCCAGGCCATCTTCCTGCTCACTGAGCCTGTTCTCCATGCTGGAGACCCTAGGGCCCAGGAGGCTGCAGGCAGGGGCTGCTGGGCTGGTGCCCGTCCTGGCAGGGCATTCCCTGGTCCCACCCGCAGCATGCCTTCTTGGGGCCTGGCTGCTGCTGACAGGAGCGCTCAGGAATGCAGCGTGGGCGGGGGAAATTCCCAGCCAGCCTCCAACCTCAAGGGGAATAGCCTCTGCCCTTCCTGCAGGTCTGAGCTCAGCGTTCCAGGGTCATCCAGCCAAGACGGGAGAGAGCCCAGCCGGCCCATGCGGCTTGCCCTCCCCAGACTAATCCTGCATGTGTGAGCAGAGCCTGCCCAGCTGCCGCCATCCCAGACACAGGTGCCTCCTCACCCCATTGTGTGCTGTGGCCCCTCAGTGCTCTGCAGGCCTGTGCCCTTACAGCACCCCCATTTTGTAGATGGGTAAACGGAGGCTGCAAGAAACAAAATAAGTACCAAAGATCCCTTAGCTAGAAGACACACTTGGATTCGAACCCTGACTGTAGACCCCAGTACACACCATTCCTTCTCGGTGCCCCAGAAGGGTTGAAGCAAGTGGCTTTGGAACCGAAGATGAGATCAGGGTTACGTTTTAGGCTTGCAGCCTTTCCTGCACCCCAGGCCATGGGGAAGTATTGTCTACTTGCTGTGGAAGATCAGACCTCATGGGCCAGAGGTGGTGGGGAAGGTGGCTGGATTCCACGTGGCCAGTGGTGCAGTCTGAGTCTTGGACCAGCAGCTCGAAAAACACAGCAGGCCAGTGTACGTGCATGCCCAAAATCCCAAGAGGAACATGGAGAAGGGATTGCACTTGGCCAGCCCCTGGGAGGTGCTTTCCTTCTCTCTGTCTCTCTCTAGCAAGTGGACATGCCTTATTGCAAAAAAAAAAATCCACAAGAATCAGACCTCAGCATAAAGGTGCTGGAAGAGAACTCTGAAATCCAGGAGCCTCCTGAGTGGGGCTGTATTTGCTGAAGGGTGCCCAGGCAGTTTAACCCCAAACGTCTTTGTCCTCACAACTTGGTCTTATCCTGGGAGGCTCCTGGGCGCAAGGCAGCCAGGTAGAGGGCCAGAAGTTTCCGTACCACCCTTCCCCGTTCCCACCACCACCCCACCCCATGCCTGGGCAAGAACTAAAGGTGGGGACTGACCTCCCACCCACTAGAGTCTTAATGGGTTGGGAGTTGACCCCCGTCGTGGGCCTCCATCATTCAGAACCCCCCGCCCTCCACAAGATCATTCGGAACCCTCCTCCCCCACAAGACAGCCAAGGTCCATACAGTTTTCTGTGGAAAAAGAACTCCACTTTATTCAGAAAGTACAAAATACAGAAGGCGGATAACTCGCTCGCTGTAAATCAGAAAATAAATAAATTCTAGAGGCCAGGCAATTCTAAAAAAACATTCTGTTGCCATCCGGCTTTCCCTAACGATAAGATAAAATGTGATTTGCAGATATAAAATATAAAGTCCAGCTCAGGGCCACATGCCGCTTTCCCAGGGAGCAGGGCTAGGGCTCTGGCTGGGGAGAATAACTTAGATTCGTGCAATAAATAAACAGGGGGGGGCAGCTGTATGCAGTGTTGGGGAGGGGCTGGGCTTCCCAGAATGGCAACCGGTGGCAGTGGCAAGCCCCCACGGTGTAGTGGGTGCGGGACCCTTCTAAGGACCCCCTCCAGATCTTACTGGACTGTAAGATCTGTCTCCTTGTCTCCGTGCCTGCCACAGGGGTGACTCCACGGTCCCCTGTCTCCCCTGGCTGCCTCCTTCCCTCTCTTCATCTGTGTCACCTTCTCACACCCTCTGCGTCCCTTCCCTTCCTTCCCTTCCCTTCCCTTCCCATCCCTTCCCTTCCCCTCCCTTCCCTTGAAGAAAGCGTCTCCCAGGCCAGGGAACCTCTCCCATTGTCTTGTTCAGCCTCCACTCACTGGCCCGTGAAAACCAAGGCTGGAATCCGAACTCCAGGGTGAAGACCCAGCTTTTGGTCCCAGCTCAGTAAATAAATGCAGCCTCGGCAATGGCTTGTCTGCTGGAGGCCTGGTTCCCCGTTTGTGAACTGGGTTCCCCATGTGTGAACCGGACTGCTCTGTCTCTCCTGCTCTGATTCTCCTAGCTTTAGAAAGCCAGGTACCCCCAGGTCTAAAGCAGAGGCGGGGGGCTACACTGCAGTGCGGCTTCCCAGTGGATAGCTCCACAAGTCACCACTGGGCCAAACCCAGCTCCGAATCCTGGAAGGTGGAGAGCATCCGGCACAGTCCCACCAAGTGACGAGTGCCTTCTTCAACACCCACAGCTCCGAGCTGGCACCGGGTTCCATTCCTCACATCTAAGAAGCCTGGACTTTCAGTCAAGGGAGACCCCAACCTGGACCCCGCCCACACACACCAACTTAACAAAGTTACCCCTCCCCAGGGCTATTCAATCCCGATTTCAGAGGCTACAAGAGGAAGACGGCTCCGGCACAGAATGTTCAGCACATTCTGTGTGAACGTGGGGGCTGGTGGCTGCAAAGAAATGGGATCCAGGGACAGAGACCGCGCTCAGGCACTTTGGGCAGGGGCTGGGTCAGCGGGGCGGGGCTTTGGGAATGGGGTGTGGTCATGGATGACGGGCGATGACGCTAGCTGGCGCCACAAGCGCCGCAGGCCCCCGGGCGGCCACCGAGCGCGCGAAGCCCTGCAGCGCCTCGCACTTGCCGCGCAGCGCGTCGAGCTCCAGGCGCATGGCGGCGTTCTCACGTGCCAGCTTGTCCACCTCTCGCTCCAGCTCCGACTTCTGCTTCTGCAGCTCTTCTTTCTGGCACACGCGCTTCACACGACAGCTAGCTGCGTAGCCGCGGTTCTTGAGCGTGCGACGCCGCTGCTTGAGCCGAGTCACCTCCTCCGCCGAGAGCCCCCGCAGGTGCCGGTTCAGCTCCCGCACCGACAGCCCCATCAGCGCTTCGTCCGACAGGTGCGGAGTATTCTCGCTCAGCTCACGCTTGATCTGTGGGCACGGGGAAACTGAGGCGGTGGTCGCAACTCCTGCCAGTGGGCTCTCCCTCCACCCCCGGTGGTCTCCATTCACCGCCCTCGCAACCGGGGTAGTGGCTGGCTGCACTTGATCCAAGACGACAAAGGTGAGCAGGGATACCGAAAGAGGAAACCAGACCAAACCAGGATGGGAACACAAATGGAGGCCAGAATTCTAACCTAGTACTAAACCCTGGACTCAGCCAGAAAAACCCAGCCCGGAAAGCACCTTTGAACGCCCCAATGGGCATTGACCTGATGAGGAAGCAGGCCCAGAGAGGGAAGTGACCCCCCAGGGACACACAGACCTCCCGCTTCCTGTGGCACGATGAATGCCTGGTGCCTGGTGAACCACCCTTGGGGATTCCAGGAAGAGAAGGAGAAGTGGGATAGGGAGGTTCTGCATGGGCAGATAGAGCAAGAAGGGGGCCCTGGGGACTCAGAGGCTGTCTTCTCACCTTCAGGGCTTTGCTGGATAGGGGATCCACAGCCATGTTTGCAGAAAATGCCCTCTGGGCTGGAGACCTAGGGGAGAAAGGAGGTCAAAGTCACTTGTTTAGTTATTCTTTCCCTCCACTTAGAATAATATCCAAACTCACAATCTTTGCATCGAGGCACCTGCTGTTTCCTAACTCATCTCATTGCCTACTACCTTCCTCTTCCACATTGGTCCAGCCACAGTGGCCTCCTTGAATGGCTTATTGCAACCTCTGAACCTTTGCTTTTGCACCTAGCTAAAATATCCCCTTCTGCCACATCACTTAGCCCCATTTATTAACCCTCATAACCCTCTTCTGCAACTTTTTTTTCTCCCTAATTTGCCAGAGGGCATGTGATCTCACAGGGTGGTAGAAGAGTAAGAACCCCTCGGTGGAGACCAGTCACACCATAATTCCTTCTCTTCCATCTCTCCATCTGTTTGAGATGCTGGGCACTCACGCACACATGCCTGATGTGTTTGTCAAGTCCCTAGGTTCAGGACTCAACCCATGTGTATGGCCACGTGGGATCTGGCTCCCTTAACCACTAGGCCACAGGGTCAGACCATCTTCTGTAATTGTTTTTTTTTTTTTTTTTTGAGAGGTTTTTGCTATAGGGAGTGTGCACTCGCCAGAGAGACAGAGAGACAGAAAGTGAGAAATCATCCCCCTGGGGGAATGGCCACGCGTCAATCCCTGCTCCTCCATTCTCCATGCACACATGCCTGGTGTGAGTTTAAGCCACTGGGTCTGGGACTTGACCCACGGTTGACTACATGAGAGTCCAGCAACATAGCCATTACGTCATCTGCTGGTCCCCATCTTCTGTAATTCTTATGTTTGTGAGTCACTTATGGTCTCTCTCTCCCCCGACCACTCCCCTTCCCCGACCAAAATGTAAGCCCATGTGGGCAGAGGCCTTGCCTGTGTTACTCCTGCACCAATATCCCTAAAGCAGGACCTGGCATAAAGTAGGTGCTCAATAAATATGCATCTGATGAATGGATGCGCCTCCCACTGGCCTTTCTTTCACATGAGATCTAGACATATGCTTTAGATTAGACTTGTTCCAACTTTTCGTTATAGTATAACCTACCTACAGAAAAGTACACAAAACATGTGTCCCAATGACTTTCCACCAAATCCAACCAGCATCCTAGTGGGATACAACATACCTCTCCTCCACTGCCCAAGCCTCCTTCTCCTAGATCAATGTTTGGAGAGGGCCTTCCAGACCACCTGGGAGTGGCCCAGCCCTAGTTCAGTGTGACCCTAAGTGAGTGGGGCAGTCACAACCAGACAGATGAAGGTCACTGACTCTCAACGCCTCACCCAAGGGCCTAAAAGCCCCATGTTCATTCAACAACTATTTACCCAGTATTTACTGTTTGTCAGACATGCTTGGCACTGGGGAGGCAGAGGTGAATAAAAACTTAAGAGAGGGAACATTCTGGAGTTCAGTATTTGGTGCTCTGGCCTGCAAAAGGAGACCATCTTCCAAGGCTTCCTTTTTGTTTGTTTGTTTTTAATTACCAGAAGGCATGTACACTTGCCAGAGAGAGAGGAAACAGCTTCCAGTGGGGTGTGGTCATGCTGCAATCCTTTTTCCTCCCTCCATCTTTCCTGTCAAGGTCTTGGGCTCATGTGCACATGTGTCTGGCCTGTTTTTCAAGCCACCAGGGCTGGGATTCAAACCATATTTGGCTTATGGGCTCCAGCTTCCTTAATTGTTGGGCTACAGGGCCAGCCGTCCCTTGGGTCCCTGTCAAGCAGTGTCCCTCTCTGTCCCCAGGTGATCTGATCAGCTTCTCTCTATTCAGGGTGACCCTGAATCTCCTCATCTGATGACCCCTACGGGGAGGAGACGGTGGTAAGGAGCAAGGAGAACAAAGAAGGAAGATGCTTTGTGATCCAAGCTGGCAGGCCTTAGAAATCACTAGCAATCCCCAGCTGGATAGAGCGCAGGAGTGAAAGGCCGAGGCCAAGCCTTGGTTCCTGGAGCTGTGTGTGGGGCCGACGTCACAGGTCAGCTCAGCCTCTGACGCAGTCCAGCAGGACCTAGGTGTCTTCCAGAGACACTGGGAAAAGAAAGCGCCAGGACCAGGACGCCTTGTGGAGTGGAGCCGCTCATTAGCTGTAGGATCCAGGCAGGGCAGTGACACCAGGCAGTCGTGCGCTGAGTCAGGCTGCACCGTGCCAGCCTCCCTCGGGACCCTCCCAGGGCTCCCATCCCACTTGGGTAAAGACAGTCATCGCAATGGGCCGCAAGGTGCCACAGCATGTGCCGCCATCACCCACGTCGCAGACTTGGCGCCTGCTCAGCGGCCCTCGCTGGCTGCCCTAGCCCCAGCCACCTCCTTGCTGGTCCCCAAATATGCCACACTCCTTCTCTGAGCCTCTGCGCTGCTGCTCCCTCTGCCCGGTGTCTGTTCCCTGGACAGGCAGTGTGCTGCCTTCACCTCCTTCACCGCTCAGGCTCCCTCCGTGGAGACTTCCCATCCCTGATACACACCTTCCCGCCCCTTCCCTGCTGCAGGTGAGTCCATGGTGTCTCTCACTGTCCCTGAGGATGATCTCTCACGTGTTTGCGTGCTTGCTCTCCCTGGAATAGCAGCTCCCTGAGGACAGAGGGCCTGCCTCCTCCCCACTGCGTCTCAGCACTTGCACCATGTCTGCAGGTGGCAGACGCCGACTTCCTGACTCGCCGGGACGGTCCACGGCTTCCCAGGAACCTGCCCTGCAGCCTTCCCAGCCCATGCAGCCAGGGTCTGGCAGCCCAGAGGGAAGGAAGAAGTGGGACAGGAAAGGGAAGTTGGCACTTCAAGAGATCCCCAGACAGAGCAGCCACTGTGGCCTGTGGGCTGGGAGGGCCTAAGTGCCACCAGGCTTCCTGTAGTGTAGGTGGGAGGACCTGAGGCCTGGGTCCCAAGACAGGACTTGGGCAGCTCTAGACTTCCTGTGCGATCCTTGTTAGGGACTGGGGGCGAGGCCTGCTCCGTGGGGCAGACCCCGTCGCTACAGCCCTCCTGGCTGAACACGTGGGCTCACCTGCCTCTGGCCTACATTCCCCTCCTTAGTTCTCCAGCCCCTGTGGGGCCTGGGCCCCGACTGCCCGCCCAGCTCTCCTTGGGGGCCTCGAGGCCCTGCCCCTCCTACTCGGCACCTTTCACAGATGTTGCTGGGAGACAGTCATGTGCCACCCTCACCAACCTTACCCCTCAGGCTGTTTAAATGACCACCCCAACTCCCCCTCACATGCCCAGGGAGGTCCCAGCAGGCCTTCTCTGGCCTCAGCCCTCCTCCTCACAGCAGCCGCACGGTCTGTCCACTATGTGAGTTTGTGCCACCACCAGATTAAGCCTCCCATGGCTCCCTACTATCTTGAGGACAGAGTCCCACCTGCAAGACATCCGGGCTCAGTGAGCCCAGCCCCAGGTTCATTCCCACACTGCTGCCTCTGTTCCACACTCCAGCCTCTGGGATTTCTTTCACTTCCTCCCATCAGTGCCTTTTGGATTCTGGGCCACCCCTAATCTATGATACCTCTGTCACTTTCCTCCACCATTGCTTTTTCTGGCAGACTCTTACTCATCCTTGTGCCCTGGGTGTGGACATCTCCTCCTCCAGGAAGCCCTCCCTGACCCCTTGGACTTGCTAGGCACCTCCCCTCTAGCCCCTCTCCTGGTGTGTTATAATGCTCTCTTCACCAGGGAGCTCAGCAGGCAGGGGCCAGGCTCAGTCGGCTCGGGGGGCTGAAGGTTGCCCAGCGAGGGCCTGCGGAGAGCAGGGGCTGAAGGAGTGCTTGGAGCCTGACACCATCGCCCAGCTGGTCAGTGTCAGGACCCAGCTCCTAGCCCACGCCTGGCTGTATATGAAAGGGAAGAAAAACTGACGGGCCTCATCTCCAGTTCTTGCTCCTTCGCGTCTGCTCCGTGATTCTGTCTGGTGGAGATGGTACAATATCAGGAGAATGGCAAGAGGGCAGAAGGCCCCCAGGTGCGGTGTGAGAAACAGGGCGAAGGGCACTGGATTCGGAGTCTCGCTTAGGTTTGAGTCCACCCGTTTCCTCCAGGCTGTGTGACCTGTGAGCCACTTCACCTCTCTGAGTCTCCACTTGCCCTCCAGTAGGATCAGAACTCTACCTGCCTGGCAGGATGGTGGGGAACCAAGTGGTATAAACCGCAGAGGTCAGCGAGCACCCACCCGGGAGGCGCCCGGACTTGCCGAGTCTGTCCCGGAGGGCCAGGCCACAGCCAGCCCTGGGGGCTCGCTTTGATTCGGCCTCTCCTGGCTGACTGGAGTCACACAGGGGACTGCAGAAGAGGCTCTTAGAGACCATCTGACCCACCTTCTCTCTCTACCTGGGGCAGGTGAGACCCAAAGAGGAGCATCACCTGCCAGTCACACAGCGGGGAAAGGAGGAGCAATTCTGAACACCTGCAAAGGCCCGGGACTGACTCTTGATCCTTCACCATCATCTTCCTGTCCTCCCAACGACTCAGAGAGGTAATGCCCAGAGACGTTAATAGAGTAACCTAGGGCCACACAGCCGGCCTCGGGTAGAGCCCAGGACTAAGGCCACACTGAGCCACAGCTCTTCCCACTGTGTTTCGGCAGGTCGCACTCACTGGGCCCCGTTTCCTCACCCCTTTGGGATGCCCAGCTGTGATGCGCAGGGTTTGTGGCGAGCCCGCTAGGGGCGTGATACGCAAGTGACGGCTAAGCATCTAGGCTCCCTGGCAGGCTGTTCCACGAGCCAGTGCTGAATGCCCGGGCAGTCTGCGCCACACAGAGAGGCCTGATGGGAGAGGGGAAACTTTGTGTGCAGTTACCTGAACCTGCTGGGGCTCTGAGCTGGGTGCCAGGTGCGGAGCACTGGGTGCTGTGGCTGATATGGAACCTCGGAGGCCTGTCCTGGCCCATCAGACAAACCCTTGTCCCTCCCTGGGACCTGGTGAAGTGGGGATGATCGCTACAGTCTTAGTGTGTCACACTCCATGAGGCTTAGCTAGGGAGTGGCGAGTGCTGGCTCCCACCTCATCGCTCTCTTCTCTCAACACGAACATCACTGATCACCCCGGACGTGAGCACAGTCCTGAACCACTTTCCGCCAAGCTCAAGCACAGCCTCAGAGTCCTCAACACAGCCCTCTAGGCTAGGCCCCAGGCCCTGCCAGCCAGCCCCAGTCCCGACAATGACGGAGCGGCTGTGTCCGACTTCTCCACCCCAGGAAATAAGCTTTGAAGTTGCTCCTCTTCCCAGCCCTCCTGTCCTGGCTGCAGCCCGTTGCTCGTGTCGTGGAGGTCAGCTCAGGTACCACGTTTGCCCAGGGAAGTCCCAGCTCAGCGAAGTTAGGCTGTCACAGAGGCAAAGTCACAAGAAGGGGGAATTGCCCAGCAACCTCAGACTCAGCCTCTCACCCCAGCCCAGGGGCTGCTGGGTCCTCTGTTCCTGCCTGCCGGGCCCCTGCCAGCCAGGCCCTGCCAGCCACAGGTCCAGCCTCCTGTTCTGCAACCGAGGCAACCAAGCAGCCGTTTGGTGGCAGTGGTGAGCTGGAACCCCAGGCTCCTGACACCTAGCTCAGGGCCAGCCACCACCACCTCCAGCCCCTCCTGGCTTCTCCCCTTCTTCCTTGGGAAGAAAGCCATGGAGCGAACTCCAGGGTCTGCAGGTTCCTCACAGCCTCCAGAGGCCTGGAGTGCGAGCTTGCTCTCGGGGGACTGACAACTGCCTTGCCTGGTCGGCAGCCGCAGCCCTCCTTCAGCCCCTCCCTGCTCCCCCAGTCCACGCCAGAGATAGCCCATAGATGGCCTACCCCCTGGCACGGGCTCCTCCCTGGCTGTGGAGCCATTTTGCTTGCTCTGTGAGGACAGAGGGAAAAAATGTGTTTTCCTGGGTCTTGGCAGCTAGGACTAGTTGAGCCTCCTCCCTGCTGGAAGGGGAGCCAGGCTGGGTGACTGAGCACCGCAGGGAAGCACCAGCTTGGGGGTTCCACCCTGGCTCTGCCACTCACTCACACTCACGGCGTCACTTCAGGTACATCGCTCCCCTTCTCTGGCCTCAGTTTCCCAACATGCTAAACCTCTCCTGAGACTGAAGTACCTTGCTGCAGTGAAGAGCTCTAAGTTTAGAGTTTCAGATACTGGCCCAGGAGCCCCAAGACAGCCAGGAGAGTGAAGGCCCTGAAGGCAGAGACAGGAAATCAGGGAAGACTTCCTAGAGGCAGGGGCATGAGAACACACACTGCCAGATGATTTACCTTGACCATCCTCTGCCCCACCTGCACAGCCAGGGACCACTTCTTCTTTCAGCTGCAGCAAGACCACAATGACCTCTAGTCTGGCCTGCCTCCACCTCCAGCCCCTCCTTTCTCTCCCCGCCCCAAGCTATGGCAGGGGTCATTACAGACATGAACCCACAAACCTGACCCTGTTTAGCTCGTTCCCCCAGCCCACACAGTGGGGCCCCAGAGTCTCCACTGTGTTCTCTCTCCACGCTCAGCATCCCATGCTACTAACAAATGAGTGAAAGTCCTTCCACTCCCCCTGCTTGCTTCCCAAGGGACGCACGGGCAGTGAGTGTGTGTGTGTGTGTGTGTGTGTGTGTGTGCATGTGTGCATAAGAGAGAGAGGGGGCACAGGAGGAGGGAGGAAGTCATCTGAGCCCTCAAGGATCTGCTCACTTCTGGAAGAAACTTCTAGAATTCTCTAGCCCATGTCTTGGCTATCTCTTTCCTTGGGATTCCTGGGTCTTTTTCTCCATATGTCACAGTTCTTCAAGGACATAGACCCAGTACTCAATCGTTCAACTGGCAAACATCTAAAAAGCACCTACTATGTGCCAAGCTGTGAGCTGGGCCCTGACAGCCCAAAGATGAACCACAGCCCCCTCCCTTAAAGCCTTCAGAGATTATCACCACTCCGTCAGTCTTGGCTCACTAGTCACCTCCTCAGGGAAGCCTTCCCGATTGCCCTGGCCTAAGTCAGAGCCCTGTTATGTACTTTGAAACCAAAGTGACTCCCGACTTATACACCCACCCAGCTGTGGTTTAGCACTGAGTTTTGAGCCTCCTTCATCAATGTTGCCTCCCCTTGTCTGGTGAGCTCCCAGAGTGGCCTCATCTCATCCCCAGCACCTGACCCACGGCAGGGACCCGATGGCAATGCAGGGGCAAATCCATCAGAAATGAGGGGGCCCCGGCGGGGACCTAGGACCTCATGGAGCCAGCAACGATCTCATGGGAGGTTACATGTTTCCTGCTAACTTCTCATCGGTGACTGAGCCAATCAGCCACTTCCCCAGCCCTGTCCCTAGCCCCCTTTGGGATGTTTCCTGCCCAGCATTGAGGATGGGCCTGCCTGGTTCCTGTCACAATGCCCCTTAGACAAATTCCACGTGCTCCCGGATCCTCTGGCTGCCGGTGGCTGCTGGCTCTGCTTTCTCCCCATAGCTCCCCTGGAGAGTAGGCTGTGTGTAGGGCTGCCAGAGCTTCCCCCCAATGATCTGCCACCCTGCCACAGAGGACATTGCAGTCCCCAGGGTGTGGGGACCGAGCTCACCAGGGCTCAAAGCTCACTCTGGCTAACTGGATTGCTCCCCTCCCAAGATTCTGCAGCCCCAATGGATGGGAGGAGGGTGGAGGTGGGGTCTGACCAAGGAATCTCTAATCCCCAGCCCATCCTTCAAGCTACTGGGCTAAACAGATGCTTTCTACAGGGCAGACGAGGGGGAGGAAGTGGCCGGGGGCACAAGGTCAGGTCCCACCCCTCACACATTAACCCTCCAGGCAGCAAGACTCCCTACCCCCTGTGCCTGCTGACCCGGCTTGCTGCTGACCCGTGGCTCAGGGTGAGAACTCTGCATCTGCCAGTGGGCATGGGTCCCCAACTGGCTTCTGGGGCTGGCAGTCCACCCATCAGTCCCCCTGACCAGTTCCTCTGTGACTGAAACTACCAGGATGGCAGAAACCAGCTCCCCCATCCTTCCCCAGGCAGGTACAGTTCCAGACCTGGAATGGCAAGAGCGGCCCTAAAGACAGGAAGCCTGGAGCCTCCTCCCAGCCCCCTGCCTTTGCCATAGGTTTTCCAGCTGTCCCGCTTTCTGCCTGGAGCGAAAGGATGTTCTGAGGGTCCGTTCTTCCAAGGGAGCCTGGACAGTGGGGACCTGACTTATGCTCCAACTCACTTTGTTACCAGGTCCACCGGGGCGCGAGGCTCCTTCACCTCACCCCCGCTCAACAGGGTGGGGTCTTGGGTACCTTGCCCCACCCAGTGGCTGCCGGCCCGCGGGCTCCGGATGGGGGACAAACACAGGGGTCACATGGCAGCAGTCCTGGGAAACTCCGGGGAAAGCAAGGGACTGGGGGGCCCTGGCTGGTAGGAAGGGGACGAGAATTCCCGGACCTTGTGTAACCACGGACCCAGCCAGGGCCGCTTCCTTCGCTTGGGTCCATATTCGGCGTTCAGGACTGTGGATACCCCGGGGCACACCCTCTGAGAGTTACACATGGCTGGTATACAGCCCCTGGGGAGCGCACGCGCTCGGGCAGACGGACACACAGAAACACACACACCCCGAAGTACACCGCGCTCGCATGTACCCGGCAGGATACCCAGGACGCTCGCCAGGGAACACACACGCACGCCCGCCCGCCCTTGGACGTAAACAAACCGCGCACGCACGGCCCGCGGGCACCGGTCCAGGGACTGTTCTCACCGAGTCACGTACGTGCACACTCCGCCCCCACCCGCCTGGGCGGACGCGCCCGATGCCCGGCCCCTTCCTCCTGGCTCCCGCGCCTCCCGCCCGCACCCCGGGAAGGGGCCCCATCTCCACCCAGCCCGCCAAGCTGACTTCTGCCTAGCTTCGGAGCCTCTGCTCCCTCTCTCAGCCCCGCCAGCTGTCCCCGAAGTGGGTACGCAGGACCGAACCTGCCCCGGCGCCCGCCCCAGGCACCTTCCCGGGGCGCCGAAACCCTGCCGCCTAGAAGTCTTGTGCACTGTCTGGGTCTCGCACTCGCGACCCTTACCCGCCTCTCGGCCCGCTTGGCCTGGCTCCCTCGTACGGGCGGGTGCTGTCCCGGCCGGCGTCCTGGTCCGTCTCCCCTCTGATTCAAACCGCAAGTCACTCGGAGCCAGACCGCCGAGGAGCGCCGCGCCGAGTTTTGTTGTGCGACAGGCGGCTCAAGGGGCCGGGGCTGCGCGCAGTTGTAAGGCGAGCTTCCCGGAATTACTCACAGGATTCCTTTCATTCATAAAAACCCAGTCATGCGGTGACGTCACCGCCCGGGAGCGACCGCCCCCTATCCCGGAGCAACCGCCTGGCCTCCCAGCCCCGCCTTCGGACAGGCCCCGCCCCGGGCAGGCCCCGCCCCCACACAAGTCCCGCCCCGGGCCGCTGCAGTCTCTGCGGGCGGACAGTCTCAGCCTGTTCATGTACTCACAGGATGAGTTCACGTGACTCCCCGCGAGGCCGTGTGGGTGGAGGTGTCATTCGCCTCATTTTACAGTCGACGACCGCCTGGCCTCCCAGCCCCGCCTTCGGACAGGCCCCGCCCCGGGCAGGCCCCGCCCCCACACAAGTCCCGCCCCGGGCCGCTGCAGTCTCTGCGGGCGGACAGTCTCAGCCTGTTCATGTACTCACAGGATGAGTTCACGTGACTCCCCGCGAGGCCGTGTGGGTGGAGGTGTCATTCGCCTCATTTTACAGTCGACGGTCCCGAGACTCTTCTTTCGACCTACACCCTCTGCTAGATGATCTCATCCAGTCTCGTGGTTTTAAAAGCCATCTGTATGCCTATGCGCCCCGGATTTGTATTTCCAGAGCGAACGGCTCTCTGGGCTCTCTGAGTTCCAGACTCGTGGCCAGCTGCCCACTTCTGCCTCCACGTGGATGCCAGATGGGAACTGCAAACACCACACGGCCAAACTCCAATTGCGATCGTCAACCCTACCGCCCAGAGCCCCCCCAGTTTAGTTGAAGCCATTAGCCTAAGAGCCTTGCTCCATGCCTTTCTGGCTTTCCTTTAGGCTGGCTCCACCAGCAGCAGTCTCCTGTATCGGAGGCTTCTCACGACCTCCAGTCCTACCTTCTGGTCCAGGCACCTCAGCTTACCTACCGGGACACTGGCAGCAGCCTCCTGACAGTCCCCAAGCTTGGCCCCTAAAGGTTTTCTTCATACACCCGCCAGTATTATTCTCCAAAGAGAATAATGTGTTTTACACAGTCTGTCTGGGTTAATGCTCATGGTGGCCTCCCTTTGCTCTTCGAATCAACTTAATTTTTATTTTATTTTATTTATTTATTTTAGGTTTTTGCCATAGGGTGCATGTGCTTGCCAGAGAGAAACAGAAAGAGAAAGTGAGAAATCGTCCCCCCAGGGGGATAGCCACACCACAATCTTTTCTCCTCTATTGTCCTCTCAGGTTTGGGGGCACACATGAACACACACCCTGCATGAGTTTCAAGCCACCAGGTCTGGGACTTGAACCACCTGCTGGCGCAGCACTTTAAATATAAATTATACACCTCCTCTTGGTTTACAGGTCCCAGGTCATCTGGCACCTACCCAACTCTGCCTTCACCTCCTGCCACTCTCCCCCCACCTGCTTTCACTCACACCGGCCTTGTTTCTGTCACCTAAACACACAGGCTCATTCCCACCACAGCCCCCTGCCCTTGCTGTTTCCTGTTCTATCCACCTGCCTGGTTGTCTCTCATGTCCCAGGTCAGCTCAGATGTCACGGCCTGAGAGAGGCCATTCCTGACTACCCTAACAAAAGGAGTCTTCACCCCTGAAATTTGTTCTTTTGTTACATGAATACCATTTTTACTTTCAACAAGAAGTTTTTGCTATAGGGCATGTGTGCTCACTGGAGAGACAGAGGCAGAAAGAGAGAAATCACGCCTCTCCCCCCCCCCGGGGGGGAATGGCCATGAAGCAGTCCCTTCTTCTCCATTCTCCTCTTGGGATTCTAGACACACACTCACATGTGCCCAGTGTGAGTTTTAAGCTGCCGGGTCTGGGACTTGAACTGTAATCAACTATGTGGGATCCCAGCGATGTAACCATCATGCCATCCGCTGGTCCTGTTACATGAATATCTTAAGGTATTTCTCAGCTTATGTATTTGCTTACTCTTTATTGTTTGTCTTCCTGAGCTGGAATATAAACTTTATGAACGTGGGACCTGGTTTATCTTGTTCAACACTGCATGTCCAGTGCCTGGAATAGTCTTGGCACATAGTAGGTCCAAAATAAATGCATGCTGAAGAAATCAACCAGTGGAGACTCTGAGAGGTCAACTGACCTTCCAAAGCGACTCAGCTGAGAAGTACAAGAACTGGGGGAACCAGCAGTTAGTGTAATGGCTATGTTGCTGGACTCCCACGTAGTCGACCGTGGTTCGTGTCCTGGACCCGGTGGCTTAAAACTCATGCCGGGTGCGTGTGTGTGCGTGCCCAAGATCCCGGGAGGAGAATGGAGGAGAAGGGATTGCGGCGTGACCATCCCCCCTGGGGGGTGATTTCTCGCTTTCTGTCTCTCTGTCTCTCTCTGTCTGGCGAGCGCACGCGCCCTATAGTGAAAATCTCTCCAAAAAAAAAAAAAAGAAGTATAAGAACTGGCATTTGAATCTAAATCCGAGCAGTTCCTGGTCCAGATATTTAGGGGTGGGGGGTGGCATAAATGTCAGGAACATACGCGGTAGCGGGAGCTCCACCCAAAAGAGGTGGCTGTGGTGTGTGCTCATTCTCCCTCTCCTTTGCTCATCCAGGCCTCACTGTCTGCAGTGCCGTCACTCCAGTGGCCGTCTGGCCGCAAAGCTGCCACCGCAGCACTTGGAGCGCAGGGCCTTCTCCAGTGAGGGGCCGCCGCGTGGAGCCCCGCCCTGCCAAGCTTCTCCTCCCTTGATGTAGCCTAATTTGATTTACGAGCCCTTGTGAGGCTTTCCTGCCTCTGGACCTCGGTTCCCCTGGCACTGTGACAGCTCTCCCTTATTTCCGCAGGCCGTGGGTTTCATATATAGGTTGGGTCACTGGCTTCCCAAGTGACCAAGTGTTGAGGCAGCTTTGTCTTGTACTTAAAATCCCCCAAACCGGGACCAGCAGTTGGCATAATGGCTATGTCACTGGACT